ATCTTTTATTAAGATTTAAAAACATTTTGAAAAATATACTTGAGTAACGATAAAATAAATCTAAAAAAATGATATAGGTACTTACTGACTCACTTTGGAATCAAAAAATTTTTTTTAATTAATTTACTTTAAAATTTTAGGTAAAGAAGCCTAGCATTTGGCCAAGAAAAGTAGCCCGCGTTTTAGAGACTATATTGTGACAAGTTAGGTTATACGACACTAAAAAGAAACAAACATATTGTTACGAGCTTGAGGTTCGTGACATTAAAAATTGCCGATAGAATTACCTAAACTTTAATTTTAATTTTCTTTACACCAATTAAAACTTAAAACACTAATAATTAATCACACTGATTCACTTTATTCCGCTCCGAAGCTTCGCTTGTCTCGCCGAAGCTTCGCTTGTCTCGCCGAATTCAATACTTCCCCGATCGCATCTTGCAGCGCCTATAAATACAAATTAGCACCGAAACCTCCAGAATATTCAAGTAAACACGCGCAAGGGGTAGAGAGTACGAGTGTCAGCTTCTAGAAGCTTAGTTCTTCGTTTTGACAACAGATGGCGCTGTCGGTTGAAAGATTAGTGATGTCATTTTCTGGAAAGCTCCCCTCGCTCTCGTCTCTGACACTAGATGGCGCTAGTGCCGGGTACACGACGTCGACTTAGGCGCGTAACAATATATATCTACAGAATTTAGACTGCTAGAGAATGAGACAGAATTTTATATTAAATTACTTGTGTTCTGACCATCTATATTACGACTACCTTAGAGTTAATAAATTTCTTTTGATTAAGTAACTTTACCTATCCGCTCAATTGCTTGCGTAAAAAATATTGGTAGCTTACTTTGTCAGTAGGTCGGGACAGTGTTTCGCGCTTTCGACCCGCCGTCAATAAAACTTAATTTATGACTTACTCGAGAGGAGCACTTCAAATATTATAAATGTTATGCATAGCCATTAAAATAAGAAAGAAATTGCTTATGTTATTTTATCAAAATATGATTACAATAATATTTTAGAGGTGTTGAAATAACAAGTACAAGCCATTTTAGCGACTCTTTGTAAAACGTTGGGTTTAGTAAAAAAATAAGATCGATAAGTGTGTGATTATCCATTATATCCCTAAACTTAATGAATTACATGATATATTTATCCATATTATAAAACGATTTAATTTAAAAACATACACATATTAAAACTAATAATTTAAAAAATACACATTGTAAAAATATTAAGTGAAACCTGATGAATAATTAACGGATTGCGCAATTGATCACATTTGTTAGTTAAAATCTAGGCTGTTATTACATCAAAACTTGATCACGTAGACCAAAAACATAGCCACCTTCGTAAAGGAAATTTCATTTACGTTTATACAATTAAAAACAAATAAATGGTTATCTATAAATTCAAGTCGTAATTTACAAATTAAAAGCATGCGGCGTATTTTCAGCCAATTCGCAATGCCTAATTAAATTGTTAAATATGGGAATATATTTCACGACGCAATCAATTACACCTATACAATAAACGGGCAAAGTCCTGAAGTTTTCAAAACATTAGGAAACTTATAAATTATGTTATATTTACAACTAATACAAAATAAAATAAATCTGGCTAAATATGTTCTCAAAAAAGCTGAGATCGATTGCTTGGGGAACGAATCGTAAAGATGGTGGCCGACTTTAGCTGGGGTTGGCACAACATCTAGTAACTGACCTCATACCATAGATAGTCCGAACAGCCCTTTTCTGCAACACAAAGAGGCATTCGATGTCGGCAGCTTTCCCCCACAGTAGTATGCCATATGTCATGAAATGAAATGAATGATTTTATCCAATAAATCTATATTGTATAATAGTTATTGAAAATCAATTTTTTATTTACTGCTGATTCGCAAAAAAAAACCTCTTCCCTGGGAAAAACCGGCAAAAAACCCAGCAGGACCTTTTTGAAACATATTTTAATTAACAATAAATTTATTTTATGTAATTTTTTTATGATTTTTTATAGAAACAGCAGGACGGCGATCACCTCATTCCCAGGGGTTATCCATATCGGGGGTTGAACCAAATCTATGATTTATATATTTGTTTTTAGTTTTAATACATAATAGACTCTGTGCGTTTAAAATAAAGTGCAATTAAAAGAACTTCGTCGCTGTGCAACCACAATTGCAAAGAGCAAAGTTAAGGATTCAGTTTTTGCAACTGTGGTTGCAAGAAGCAGCATTTTTTGAAAACAATAAAATAATTATTATAAAAAGAATACAATACAATACCCTTTATTGAACATTAAAAAATACAATATAACAAGAAACAAACAAAGAGAAAAACAAAAGGCGGTCTTATTGCTATGCAGCAATTTCTTCCAGACAACCTAACTTTTAATTATGGTGGAAGTCTCTGCAATAAAAAAATATAAAAAGTTCTTTAAAATTTACACTCCAGCTACAGTGGCGCCACCCTTATTTAGCACTTTTCTACGGACACTTTTTATACAGAGTTTGTTCTCCTTATCTCTACACTCCATAGTCTAAACGCTGTCTGTCCGACTGATAGTGCTAGTTGTTTGATAACACAATTTGTTTGATTGTCAAAACTGAAGATTTGGACTTGGAAAATATCAAATTATTTTATAAATTTATCAAATCAAACTATAAATTAATCGATTTTCGATCATAAAATATACTCTGATCTGGAATTTTATCTGCAAATGTTATCGATTATATTAGCGGTTATGTTTTATTTAATTTAGTAAAGTTGGTTATTTCGAAAAGTTGATTAATCAATTTTCGACTATTGATTAACTTAACATTATTAGCAAGTTTGCTAGTCATCATCAGTCCACGGAGGTTAGAGAGACCTCCATGATAGAGTCATAGCTTCGGTTTGTCACTTTGTCATTTGATTTTTACTATACTTTTTGATTTAGTCATTTGTCAGTTTGAGATTGAGGCTTGGAGGTTAGAGAACAGGGGAACAATCGCTGTAGAAAATAGTGTCCCAGAAATATAGACAGAATAAATGAGGCGCTGCGATCGCTAAGTTACCTCAATAAAAGCAGGCTGTTGTGCGCCAGTTCGAAATGATTATAATATCATTCAAAGAAAAAAAACGAAATTTCAATCGTTCTCCTGTTTTCTAACCTCCATGGAGGTTAGAGAACAGGAGAACGATCGCTACGTGCTAAAGCATAGCCTGCCTGTCTCTGAAAATTTGTAGAATTTATAGCCGCGCTGACGTCGGTAAGTAGTATCTGCGAAGTATTTTTTTTTAATTTTTGACAAAAAGAAACATTAAAAATGGGAAATATGAGAAATAAAATAATAATAATAAATCAACAAGCCGTGCTCGAAAATGACCGCGCCAGGCTCTACTGGGACCGGGCCATCATCACGGACAGGACTATTCTTACGAATAAGCCTAATATTGTGCTGGTGGACCGGGCACAGTCAAGGATATTTTTGGTCGACATTACCATTCCGTATGACAAGAACCTCGTGAAAGCCGAAACAGATAAATGAACAAAATATCTGGACCTGGCTCACGAGGTGACTGACATGTGGGGTGGTATGCCGACCGAAATTATTCCTGTAGTCGTCTCTGCGAATGGGCTAATCCTAGTCAGCCTCTCGGGTCATCTGAGGCGATTGGGACTCCGTGACGGACCGCTCCGGGCTCAAATGCAGAAGGTGGTGCTCCTCGATACCGCCCGCATCGTCCGCCGGTTTCTTTCCCTTTCCTCCTGATCCTCAGCCGTTTCGTCTCCCTGTGAGGGTTCGATCTGGTTGGGCTTTTATTTATTTATGTATTTTTGTATTTATTATATTTTATTGATATTTATGTATATTTATCTTTTCATTTTAATTTATAATTATATATTTATAGAACCCAACCAGATGAGAAAACTATATAGATACCCCACATAATAAATCAACAATAATTAATAATTTATGTTTGTAATAATTTATAATATTTGTAATAATTAAAATTATAAAACACTAAATTCATAATTTACTTACTAATAAATACTAATAATAAAAATAAATAATAATCATATCGTTATTTCCTGTTTTTTTTCTTTGATTAATATTATAATCATTTCAAACTAGCGCACAACAGCCGCTTTTATTGAGACAACTTAGCGATTGCAGTGCCTCACTTAATCTGTCCATTTTTCTGAGACGCTATTTTCTACAGCGATCGTTCTCCTGTTCTCTAACCTCCATGATTGAGGCGCTATCAATAAGTTATGGGAGTTTCGGCGGGAACTTGGCCGTCGACGTACTGTCACTCCGGTTTTGTCGCTTAAATAATGGTTTGAAGTGGATTACAATTAGTAAAAGTGATGTGATTTTGTCAATTAAGTGCCTGCGCATGTGAACTATTAGAGAAAACGTCGAAACAAGTGCTTTAATGTTGATATAAACCTCAAGTTAATTTGATCGCTTAGGCGCCTTATGAACTTAAGTGGCTGTCGTCATCAACAGTCCGCTGGGTTGAGCTGTCGTCAAAATTTCCCAAAAATTTCGCAATGTGACGCATCAGCATATTGTGAAGAAAAAATATATAAAATGAAGATTCCGAAAGAAATGATAGGCTCAGAAGGGCTAGAACCCAGAGCCGTAAAGCCAGTTACATAACAAAACATTAAGTTATAGGCTCACAAGGGCTAGAACCCGGGGCCGTAAAGCCATTAGAAAACATTAAATTATGTCAAAAGTCAAACTAACAAAATAACCTACATTTACATTATTAGTAATATTGATGCTAAATTGAATAAATGTAGTTTTAATGTTTTCAATTGTACTTCAATAATAGATAAATATATATAACTGAAATTCGTTTCAGTATAATTTTCAGCTTGCTATGAAGTGGTGCAAATGATAAGAACTACATTTTTACATCACTTATATATGTTAGACATTAAAGCATTCAACTTTCATTACAATAAATTATTACTAAAGTATATAAGTATTAAAATCATTACTAAAAATGTCAAGTAAATATCATCAGACCTCTCACTTGACTGCCCAAAATCAGGTTTATGATTTGTTGCCCTAAATGCTAACCGTTTAGTGTTCAATATTAAAATATACATCTTCAGATATTTTTAATTGTTTTTTATTATTGATTTTGATTGCAGCTTATACAATGGATAAACGAAGCAGGAATGTCAGAAGGAACAAAAAAGTCAAATTTGCTAAGAAAAATTGTCGAAGTGATGCTACATCAGGCACCACAAACAGTACCACTTTATATGGAAAACATCTTAAGTTTTGTCAGTGATAAGTCCACAGAAGTGAGAAAACAGGTTGTGGCTTTTATAGAAGAGTTAAGGTATGAGCGTTATATCTTAAATCTGCCTTTTCACTTTAGAATTATGGTTTTCCTAAACTCTTGTGTGCATAATTGTGTTGCTGTATTGCTAAAGATATTGGTTTTAGTAAAAAATCACTCAATCTGGAAAGGATCAATTCAAATCCTGTAGCATATTTTTTTATATATTCAATATGGATGACAAACGATCACACAGTGGTAAGTGAATCCTGTGCCCTATGATATGTGACCTACCCTTACACCTATCCTCGATTAAATTAAAAATTTCATTTACTTTACATTAAAAAATAGGCAATCATAGATAGAATGTCAAACACACTAGTATTTTTGTTGTCATGTATTTTTTTGATCAGTAACACTTGTGATAAAACATGTAACAGAGATCATTAATGTAGCGGTAGCAGTATTGACTGTCAATTAAACAATTGCAGCTACAGTTCAATAAGCACATGTGTGTTGGTTGAATGGACAATCTATGAATAAACTACATTATCATTGAATTGGAAATTTAAGAAATCATTTTAATTTAGAAATCTTATTTTAGTTAAGTTACAGCCTATATACGTCCCACTGCTGGGAACTCTACTCATTTCTGAGAAGGTTTTAAGACAAGAAAGTGTCTGCTGCGCGCCCCAATGGATGTTGGCAAACTTCACATGTCTACAATTTTTTTTTTATCTCAGACATGCAGGTTTCCTCACAGTGCACACCTTCACCCCTGAGCACATGGTAAATCAGCACTTAAAATTGCAATTAACAATTAACACCACTTTAATTAGCACCCTATTTTGGCTATTACTGTTTCTGATGTGCTGATATTTAGCATGCTGTGTTCCATTGCTTGTTGGAGAATTTTAAGTATAGATAATATTTTCTTTATGAGAGCCCAACTCTAACATCCGTATAATAAAGTGGGAAGTACAGTAGTATCCATCGTAAAGCCATGCTGCAGCTATATTAGTTGTAGCATGAATGGGTCGGCTAGACTGGGGTAGTACCACACTCTTACTTAATACTAGCGTAAAATAGCGCTTAAGGCTGTTGTGTTTCGTGTGGTGAGTGTAGAGAACTGAAGACCATTTTTACTGGATTTAATATATATTAAATAGGTATTCCATCAAAGTTCTCAGGGGTGACAATGCATCTGCAATTTAATTATTCATCGAGGATAGTCTATGGGTCACAACATCCACTTACCACCAGGTGGATTGTGTGCTAATCCTATTTAAAAAAAACTTGCTTCTTTAATTTAATGGGTAGTTTTCCTTTGAAAATATGTTGTAATGACCAGTATTATCTTTAGGCTAATTTAATTATTTTATTAACTTCAATAGTTATAAGTTGTGAGAGTAAATCTTTTGTCCAAGATCTGATTTGATGGTTTTGAAACTGAACAGGCACTATTTTTTTAAGTTTTGCATGAGTTTATTTGTAGGCCACATTTTCTGATTTCTATGTCAAAAGACTGAACCATATACACTAAAGTATTATATTTTTATAGAAAATGGGGAACATAGACCTGACCCATTTTGAAGCATCTCATTTAACACAATGAGTGATATTTTAATATTATTTTTATTATCATCAGAATGAACATCAATGAAACATGAATTGTATTTTATGTTTCATTATAGTTTTGTGATAATAGAACTTTTTACTCATTTGGGATCATTATATTTAATTGTGAACTTTAGTATTTTGTATATTTTGAGACCTTTTTTAATTAAAAAAGGGGCTTCGATAGTGCAAGTTTGCACAGGAGAAGACTGTTAACATACACCCTGAAGAAGTCAATCTTATAGGGACTCGGAAAAACAGACGCCGGCAGGGCATTCCACGCCCCTGCTGTGCACATTATAAAAGTTGATTTATAGCATTAAGTGTGAATATTCAAAATGTCAGTCAAGAGTGAATGTAACCTGCAGTATGTCTAGTATTCCAATAGGGGAATGGAGATGGCGGTATGAACTTATGAATCTCATAGGCATACTCTCCATAGTATAGTCTCTAGAAGACCGACAAACAAGCAACTTGGCGGCTAAGCTGTGAAGCTTAGTTTACACTAGCTTTTTGTTGCTGATAAGCCTCTTGGCTCTACGTTCCACTGAGTTGAGTGCGGCAAGTTGATATTTTGCCGAGCCATCCCAAAGGGACTGCAGTACTCCATGCATGTTCGGACTTGAAGCACAAGTCAAGCAAACCAGGTGTGAAGTATCTCTTCACCTTGTATAGAATACACAGTTTTTTGGCCGCAGTTTGTACTTTCGACTCAATGTTAGCGCTGAAGTTGAGATTAGCACTCAACTGTATACCGAGAAGCTCAAGATGATCAGTAACTTCTACAGATGTATCTCGGAAAGTAGGAGTCAGGAGTCAGATCAAAAGGACTCTGTTTTATGGAGAACAAACATGCCTGTGTTTTGGCGATGTTGAAAATAACCAAATTGTCGTCACCCCATTTGGAGAAACTAGACTTAAGATCACATTTATCTGCACCATGCATCTATGACTACCCTGATCGACCGTTCACTCAGAAAGTTAGATATCCAGTTGCAAAATTCAGCGGGGATGCTGTAGGCAGGAAGCTTACTCAGCAGACTTGCTTGCCAAACCCTGTCGAAATCCTTCGAGTTATCGAATGAAACTGCTAGAGCTTCACCGTCCTTCTCGATGGCCTCGCCACATAAGTGCGTGACATACACAAGAAGATCCCCAATGGACTGTCCCTGGCTTGAGCCGGTGGTCACTCAGGAGATCATTTGTGTTAAGGTATGTCAGCAGCCTACTGTTTAAAACCATTACTTTATAATAGTATGAAGGTGATGGCAATTGGTTGATAATTACAGGGATCAGCACGACTACCCTTCTTGGTTACTGGTTGCAATCTTGGCAAGCTTCCAGGATTTAGGCACTGTTCAAGTTTAAGGGAGAGCCGTTACAGACAGGTCAGAACAGGAGACAACTCAGGCGCACAATGCTTAAGTACCCTTGCAGGAATACCAACAGGTGCACTGGCCTTGTTCATATCTAGGTTTTGCAAAGCTCAACATACCTCTTTCTATGGATAGTGACTTTCGACACCGAATCACACCAAGGAAGGGTTGGCAGTTGCTTAGAAATGGCAAAATTTGGATTGGACATCCTTAGACAGGGAACAATATTTCTAACTACTAGGAGGCTTGGATGCAAGTCTGATTCCTATACGATTGACATGGTCGAATCGTGGTGCCTCAGAGAACTCATTGCAGGACAAATTATGACTTACGGGCCTCAGCACGAGCACAGTCCGCATTATACCAGGGCTGAGCCTTGTGACCGAGCGGTATGTCGAGAACGGAATAAAATATTCAATTCCCTGTCGTATCACGTCTGCAACCGCATCAGCAGAACAGGAGGGTTCATCGGAAGAAAAGCACACTTGTCACCACAGATATGAGGTAAATAAGTGCCGCATCTGAAACCAGTCTGCTGACTCGTATCGTCATACTCTCCTCGTGCTCGCTAAACAGTCATCCGGAGGAGAGATGATCGATACGGATTGCATCAGACAGTGATCGAATGATCCCAGCGAAGTTGAGACAGATACCGAGTGCCTGTCTGGATCTGTTATCAGTAGAAGGTCCAAGCAATTGGATGTATATTAAGCTACATCTGGCACTCGCGGCCACTACTTGAACCAGCTGAGTGAGATCTAGCGATAACCCAGGTTTGCGTGCCAGCTTCCCAGCATGGTCGATTTTCTCGTATGGCAACAACTACTCCTTGTGGTGAGCGGTAAAGTCCCCGAGAAATCTAGCTCCGCAGATGGATACCGTTGTTGGGCTTTATCTGCCATTTCTATCAGTTGTTCAATGAGCCTGGTCGTCTCCTGATCTCCGCTGTGCAATCTATAGACCCAGGCATAGATGGGTGTCTCTGCACCGGTGTCCACCAAAAACCACATAGCAGAAAACTCTGAAACCTTATAGCAACGGAGACGCCGACAAAAAACGTTTGAACTCATGTTCAAACGTGTAACCTGGGTTACACACAGTTGCGGTACGCCAAACCAGACGGAGTTGCTATCTGCATCTCCGTTAAGATCAATAAGTGCGGCTTCTCGGTCTCGAGGTGGTGGTAACCCGGATCGAGGTTAATGTGCAATCCTTTAATGTTCGTGAGGTGTACTTTAAGCGGGAGGAAGTGCCACCGTTGTTTTGCCATATTCTTTTAACAGTTTTTTTTTAACTTTTCATGTTAGTTGTGTGTGTTTTGGTGGGGAAACAGTTGAGAAATCAAGGCGCCGCTAACTATGCCAACTGAAGACTCAAGAGCTTAGTTAATCGATGGAAAACTCATTTGAAGACCGCGAGGACGCCCGAGCCCATTCAACGGGAACAATAAGACCGTGCCTCGGCATGGTCTTATTGTTCCCGCTTTTCTCCAGAATGCGTAACCCGGTACAGCTCTGAAATCCAGACTGTCTTAAACGGCGCAACTGATAGTCCTTCTGTCCCTCAAAGGCACTGGTCCTTTTACTCACAAACGGAACGCAATGAGCTGCTTCGCGCCTGACTCCGACGGGAGGGAAGTAGCAAGCCAGGAGGCCTTTTGCGAGGCCTTCCACCGCATGATAGGATCTTCAGTGATCATCCGCCGTTGCCCGGGTGGACCGCTCGGAGATAAACATTTTAATAAAAAAAAAGAGTTATCAATATACTGTATTAATATAGAATTATAATATAGTACAAAATTAATTTTCGTTTAATAACCTGATGGTTAGCGGCTACTGCAGTCCAATCACACCTACAAATCCTACCATCAACTTCTACAACTGCTACAGATGTGTTGTCACCACTGAGGACTAAAATTAAATTCCTCACAGTCTGTACTGGCCCTCTATACTCTTATACTCTATACTCTTGGACTGGAAGACAGCAGTGCAGGCAATGCTGCTTGGCCGCAAAAGTAAATGAGATGGTGGTGGTAGGACTCCTTTTTCACCCAGACACACCCCTGGGTGAAAAAGGAGTCCTACCACGTAGTGACCTATAGTCCGTTCGCGTAATAGAAAATAGTGAGTCATCAGTGCAACTACAGGCTAAAGGTGTATTCACAGTGGAATAAAAATTGTTTTTTTTTTTCAAACATTTAATTAAGTTTAATGGAAACAAATTTTCTTAAAATTACTTAAATCACTAATCAGTATCGCTAGATTCTCCAGTTACATTCATTATGAAAGAATTTTGTTCTGCAAGTTTCATAACATTTGTCTAGTTCATCTAATTTATCAACCGTTGATAGTCGAGCTCTTTTTTCACGGGTGATTTTAATGTGTTAGTATCCTTTTGTTCTTTAATAATTTTATAAACAGTATTTTCGGACACACCACATGCACTTGCTGTTTTTATTACTGTGCTCTCCACAGTCGCATTTAAATCACACAGTTTAAAGTACTTATAAACATTGTAAATTACGCGTCTCTCTCCGCTATGGATTATTGATCCACTTTTATTCTTTCGAATAGGTGATGTATTCATTTTCAAAATTTAATGTTGAACGAGTAACACGCAAAATACACAACCGTTATGTTCGAAGGCCTGACTTCAACTGGTCACTGTGAACTCGACTTTCTAATTTCTTGCATTTTAATTGGCTGGGGGGGCGTGGCCAGGCCGGCGGACAACGATGACTCACTATTTTCTTAACGCGAACGGACTATAGTACCTTTATCATTTAGTAAATAATGATCAATCATGTCATGAATATTGTTTATTATTGAGACTTGTTAGAAATTTTGAAACACGAGTGGACACAAAGTATTGTCTGTCTTATAGTTTGTATACATTAATCAAATAATTTCAAAGCATTCAACACAAACCAGGACACATGGAGGAATGAAGTTTTTAACCGACTTCAAAAAAGAAGAAGGTTATCAATTCAACTGCATTTTTTATGTGTGTCATCTCAGAACTATTTTCTAGGTGTACCGATTCTGGTGATTTTTTTATATTATTCTATCTATTTGAAAGCTAGTGCTTCTTATGTTGGCCCACATAAATTTGATCAGGATCTGACCAGTAGTTTTCGCTTTATCTTTAATAATATGTATTTAACAACATACGATGTTCTCATTTTATATATATTGAAGGCGGTTTTACAAAATTTTAATTTTACCACTTGTGTAAATAGCAATGACTGTCTGATACTTCTTTAAGTGACCTAAATCACACCTCAAATCTATTGAATGTCAATGTTATAGTTTTTTTTTAATTATAGAACTTTATTTCAGTAAAAAATATCCGGAATATCTGCCAAAAATCATTGGACAGTTACAGTTGTTGGTTATAGACACAGTGATAGCTGTACAGAAGCGTGCTATACAAGCTGCCAGCATAGTGTACCGAAATGTTCTTATATGGTTGTGTAAAGGCAAAGCAGACCATGCTGAAATGCAGTATGTTTGGGACCATCTCACCAAATTAAAGGTTTTTATAGATTATACTTTAGTTGTGTATGCAATTAGTGCATGCAATTGAGGTAGGGCGGGATATGCTCTTCAGTCCAATTAAGACACATCATTGTAATTAGTTAGCGGAAGGTTGCAAAGTAATAAATTATTTAAAATAAATTTAACTATTAATGCCATGTCTAAAACAGATAGCATTTTTAAAAATACCTTCTCGCGCCGCGTGTCGGCACTTCACAATCCAGATTAAACAAATACTTAGTGATTCATTATCATCATTTACAGGCTATCAAAGTCCACTGCTGAACATAGGCTCCCTCATAGATTGTCTCATATCCATAAATATTCCCCATAATTGACATATTGTCGTGACGCTTAGCAGGCAGTTTGGCAACCTCAATTTTTTTTATTATTTTTAAGTAGCTATCGGGACAATACTGCTGCCCATCTCCTGGTTCATTTCCCTCTATTGCCTCTTACAACAGCATCAAAATGATGTTGAGTATAGGATAGGGTATCAAACGAGCACACAGTCCACCTGATGATAAGTGGTTGCTGTAGCCCACAGACATCTACATCTGGATTAAGAATCAAAATGTAGATGCGTTGTCACCCGTGGGGACTAAGATTGGAAGCCTCCTTTCCAGTAAGAAGGGTCTCCGGTTCTCTACACTCACCATACGAAACACAGCAGCGTTAAGCTGCTATTTTACCATCCGATCCGATATCGGGCCGACCCATTCGTGCTACAACTACGAGTATACTTCTTATTTAGCTGCAGCGTGGCTCTACCACTTAGAAATGAAAAGAGAAATGAATGAGGGAATAGAGAGCATCTGTACCTACGTATACACGTACATTTGTGCATTATAATACTGTTTTGCGCAGACGGCTAGTCCCTGTTGAGACAATGCGCGGTCTGTCTTGAGGTCATTATTATTATAGTAAAAATCAAGGTCAATAACACCAAACAAGGCAAATAATAAACTGCATCTCAAATCTTTTCAGTTGCTGATTTTGAATATGATTGATAGCGAAAATGAGGGTATTCGGACACATTCAATAAAGTTTTTGGAAGAAGTGGTATTGTTGCAGAGCCCTAGCGAAGGCTCGGGTGAGGACTTCAGCCTCGATAATATACCAACACATTTGCCTTTCTTGAAAAGGCGCACGCTTGAAGAGGAATCTGAGTGAGTAATAATTTTTTATAGCTCAAAATAATAATTACAACAGGCGTTATTAATATTAGTGGTTAGCGGCTCCCGCGGCCTATTATCCCGATTTATCAAAGTGGAGTTGTTTAGATCTAAGATAATTAAGTAAAGATCATTGTTGTAGCAATTTTTTTAAATCAAATTTAAAATTTGTGTCCTAATGGCATTTAAATAAGTCAGTCATAATAAATCAGTCAATATAAGGCAGCTATTTCTAGCTATACTTTTTAATTTTATTTATCTATATAGAAGAAATAAATAAATCATGTGTAAACACACAAAGAAATTATATTATAATATATCCCGCTTTCCCGCTGCTAATCTGTGAATTTAAGTCGTGTCTTGCGATACATTTGAGATCTATTAGAGAACACTAGATCCTGACATTTCCCTTTTTATGAATTTAAAAGTAACAAGACAGATTCATTGATTATCTTATATCACCCCTATACAGTGAACTTCTCCTTCATCAGTCCATAGAAGTCCAACAGCCAGCCGTTGTAGGGGGGATTTGTCCCAATTCTCACTCTTAGCAGACGGATTGGCAATCGCAATAACAGGCTCTTACATAGGACGCCGCTGCCCGTCGCCGGTCTGAATATTTAACACCTGTTGCAAATATGATGGTATACTGCCGTCTACTGCCATCTATCGGATGTCAAAAGATTGTTCTTGCATTACCCATAGTTGTCTCTTTACAGCACCCAATAGACCAAAATCGGTGATGAATTCTCTTCTGCCCTCACCACTCGCCATATACAGTAAATGGGCTTTGAGGCATAATTAATTAAATTATGTATATTCCCTTTGATTTCAGACATATATTCGAGCTTCTAATAAAATTCCACAACTCACAACACATATCCAGCGTTAACCTAATGGCCTGTATGACCACGCTATGTCTTCTCGCAAAGGTCCGACCTAAGTACATGCCGCGAGTCGTCCAAGCGTTAGGTGACTTGCACACTACATTACCACCCACGTTGTCGCAATCGCAAGTGAATTCAGTGCGTAAACACTTGAAAATGCTCTTATTGAATTTGATAAAGCATCCTTCCTCTAACGATATGCTGCCCCACCTGACGCAACTTCTCGCCGATATAGGCATGACGGCTCAAGAGATTAACAAGGCCATACCGAAAGAAAGAAGGAACAAGCGCGTTAATGAGATAAAGAATGACGATACCCCGGCGAAAAGGCTTAGAGTCGATTCACCACAAAGCAATAGTCAAGGTAGTGACAGCAACAGTCGCAGTGACTTTGTATACGAAGATGATTCAAGTCAACAGAGCGTGGTAGCAGTCACTAAGGCAACTGTGACCGAGGACTCAATATTCGATGGGTTGAACAACGTTGAAAACGTCGTCAGCCTTGTAACGCACACTCTCGTTAACCACCTCCCGATCAACATACCGAGTGGTTTCTTCACAGCGTACAAACCTATACCTAACTCGGGAAGTAAAGCACAGAAGAGGAATTTGGCTAAAATGTTGCTAGCTCTGATCAAAGATGAGCCAGCCCCGATTCCACCACCAGTGCAACCTCAGCCTTCATTGTCAGACCTTGCTGCGAAAATACCGTTGTTAAGAGACGATGATGAAAAAATAACCTTGAAAAACGCCGTAGCCAAGTTACAGGAGTCAACGAAAGCAGAGAAACAGATAGAAAATGCTGTGAGCAAGTTAATGGAAGAGACTAGACAAGAGCATTTGAAGGAAGAAGAACGAAAGGAGAAAGAGAAGGAGAAGTTAGTTCCACCGCCAACTCCAACTATTCCTAAATTAAAACATAGAGTAAAGTTGTTGAAATTGCAAGAACTTACCCGTCCTATACCTAAAGAGATAAAGGAGAAACTGATGCTGCAGGCAGTGGAAAGGATACTCAGGGCAGAACAGGACTGTGCGATAGGAGGCGCCTCGCAGATTCGCACGAAATTTATAACAATCTTCGCCTCTAGTTACACATCAGACATCAGGGATTTGGTTCTCAACTACATTTTAGAAGATCCCGTCAACAGAATCGACTTAGCCTTGTCCTGGTTGTACGAAGAGTATGCTATCATGCAAGGCTTCAATCGACATCCAGTGACGTTAAAGAGTTTTAATGAGAAACACGATCAGAACTACAACCAGCTCCTATGTGCCTTGGTGACCCAGATTTGCGAAAGAGGAGACCCCAGTTTAGAGAACAGCAAGGATGTACTGATGAGGAAAATCTACTTAGAGTCTCCGGTCGTGACTGGAGAGGCGATAGATTACTTGAAGCATTTGGTCACTGAAGAAAAAATGGCGCTTTTGGCTCTTGATTTGTTGGAGGAATTGTGTATCATGAGACCACCTAGAGCGCATAAATACGTCCCGTCTTTGGTAGCTCATGTGTGTAAGTGCAGTTTGTATTATTTTATTTAGAGGAAGAGTACATAAAATATTGCTTTGGTGATTATGTTTTAGATTGGATGTACCACAATGAAAGTAGTTTATAAATCCTATCATCTTACAATTCTTCTTCATCATCATCAGTCTATTAACGATCAGATGTTGGACATAGACCTCTTAACCAGATAAAGTTACAGCCTATATACATCCTACTGCTGGACGCTGGCCTCTGATTTTTTAGAGGGTTGGAGGTCAAGGTAATGTCCGCCGCGCTGCCCCGTAGCGTGTTGGCAAACTTCACATGTCTTCAAAATATTTTTTTTATATCTTACATAGCATTATAAGTGGTAGAGCTACCCTGTAGCTATATTATGGTTGTAGCACGAATGGGTCAGCTCGACCGGGGAAGGACTACGCTCTCACAGAATACCAGCGTAAAATAGCAGTTTAATACTGCTGTGTTTTGTATGGTGTGTAGAGATCCGGAGACCCTTTTTTACTGGAAACGAGGCATTCCATCTTAGTCCTCAGGGGTGACAACGCGTCTGCGTTTTGATTCTTAATCGAGGATTAATGTAGATTACTATGGGTTACAGCATCCACTTACCATTAGGTGGACTGTGTGCTCGTTTGTCATAAAAAAATGCATTTTTCCTCACGATGTTTTCCTTCATCGCCGAGTATGTGGTAAATCAGCACTTAAAATTGCAACTAACAATGTTTTCGCCTGTTTCTTTTGATCCATATAGTATAAACCTGAAGTGAAAAACGGGCAGTATCTACCTAATGGTAAGTCAGTGCTATGTCCATAGATATCAACATCTACCCACAAATAAGTACCGAAATGCAGATTTGTTGCCACCACTGCGGACTAAGATGGCTTGCCTTTTTATATTTCTAAATATTTTCATATTTAATTTTATAAAATAATATATTGTAAACTAATGTTTTAAAAAAGTCCTACTGGATCTTGCTAGTAGTTTTCAGAACAGGATTTTTCCGAACCAGTACCAAAGCTAAAATGACTTGATAAAAATGATTCTATTCTATTCTACCATTAAAAAGTGTTACCGTCTCTTTTAAGTGTGGAGTGTTTACTTGTTTGTGAGTCACAAATGAGTACACAGTTTTATTTATAGTTACATGTTTTATTCTATAAAAACAAAGGAACACAATCACTAACAGATACACTAGATTATATACATAGTATATACAACATTAATATAATTAACGCAATTTGAGAAAGTAGTTTGTTCAGAATCGTTTACTGAATCGATTCCTATTATTTTTAATATAGGTAATTTTTATCCCAAAAATAATTAAAACTACGTAAATTACAGTCACACTAAATCTGCACAGTCAAAACAAACTGAAATGGACCGTAACTTAAGGCAATAAGACTTTTAAGAGTGCAGTTTTATTTATATTGTTACTAATTCTGTCATTCAATAAAAATAAAGAAAAATGAACTTTATTTCAATTATGTTAAAGTCTTTGCGTTCGTGATATTGTACTGTGACGACAACATTCTTCCGGAATTAGTGTAACGAATTTGATTAATAATCAGTGCATAAAAATGTTTAACTAAAAATTCAGTGTATGTATTATCATTATTACATAATATACTAATTGGGGTGTCTGAGGGTGTGCGTTAATTACGTTACATATTGTATATGAAGATATTTACTATTCGACAGTAAACGAAAATGAAGAAATCCGGGATGTAGCTCTTAAATCGACTGTCAAAATCTACAAGCAGAGCACAGAATCGGCCAAACGTGTGATAGAGAAACACGCTCTCTTATACCTGGGCTTCATTTCACTGTCTATGCCACCTCCAGAGTTGGTCAACATGCGACAAGTCAGGGTTTGGACGGACGACCTCTATAAACTCTGTTTGAATCTGGTAATGGCGTTGTTCCCGGAGAAAGAAGGTAATTAAAAGTGTAGTAATAATAATAATAATAATGCTTTATTTTATTCATAAATTTTAACAAATAAATTTAAACTCTCTGACTCCTGATGTAGGTGAAACCTGTATCAAGAGCCAGTGTCTTCTCACAAAAATAACTGTACAGATTACATATATGTTGACAAAAATAAAAAATCTATTAATACTAAAATTAAAATTAAATGATGAAATGTGGGTGTGTGCAAGAGAGCGCTCGCTCGTGTGTGCGTGCGTGCGTTCGCGCGTGTCTGTGTGCGTAAGTGAATGAGGATATGATGTTCTGTAGGTTAATTTTAAGGCAAATGTGATTCTGTTTCGTGGTAACGATAAGCGGTATTAATTTTTTATATATAGGTACGTAGTAATATTAAATATGTTCTTTATATTTTATCTTCAGCTGAAATATAATATTGTGTAGCCTGTTAAAAATCCTGACTGCTGTACACGTCTCTTCCATTGTAGGAGGATTTATTTTTATTACCAATCTTAAAAGACAGGTTGAGTCTAGGAACGTAGTAGCGGCAGCTACTACCAGGCACGAGTTTGCGTATTTTAGTTTGCATTTATGTAGTAACGGAAAGATTAAACAGGCTATGAGGCATTCCATGTCAGTTCCCTGTGGTAACAGTATTTGTTTACGGTTAAAGCTAGACGTACAAAGAAAATAAATGATGCAAATACCAAGTTAAAACCAAGCTTAACTTATTGTAAAAACACAACCAACAACATGGTTTTGTGTTCGAATGTGCGTCAAGTTGTGAACTTTTACAAGGTTGTTAAAGAAATAAAGAAACAACATGTGGTTCGTGCGTGCGTGAAGAAGTTGAGCATTGTTCCAGAGTCTATCGTTCCGTGTTGGACAGTGGGTTAAAGATATAAATTTCTCAAAAGATTACTGGTATAAGCCATTTAACAATTGAATCACATAATAAAGTTCACTTTCTTCATGCTGCTTGTTATATGTACCAAAAGCACAGTCCACGAAATTTACAACAAAATCCCAGAAAATATACAAAATTTGTCATACACAAAGTTCAAATACTTTATTAAACTAAGTTTGTATAAAAAGGGTAATAATATTAAGGAATTTATGGATGATAATAACCCCTGGGGAGGGTGATCGCTACCAAGCTATTTCTAATTTGTTTTGTGTTGTTAATTGTAAACATGATTGTGAACTATTATTTGAAAAAAAAATTGTCCCGCTGGGTTTCTTGCTGGTTCTTCCCAGGACAGAGGTTTTTTTGCGAACCAGTGGTAAATAAAAAAGTGACTTTCAATAAGTATTGTTTATAAACTACATTGAAAAAAAAAGTTTCTGTTTCTGTTTCTTTAATCGAAGAAACTCACGTTACTTGCTCGCCCAATTACAAAAAAATCGTTTAAAAGGCAGATACAGTCAGCATTACTTATAGTCGTTGATCGCTTAAATTAACCATTAACAACATAATATCTCTTTCTAATGACATTTAGTGAAAAGAGAAAGTGTAACTGCAAGCTTTTCATTTTTTATAAAGAAACAATTAATTAAACTGGTTAGCGTAGTTAGTGATATTCAGAGGGTAGATTGGCATAAAAAAGTGAAACATTATAAGATTCAAATTTCAGACTTATATTTGATATTGGCGACGCCCATAATATTAAGTAGACACCATGAGGTCGACTGTTTTCTCGCTTGTCAATCTATTACAGTATAAAAATTGTCTGCAGAGCTAATAGTGGAAGTAGCCCGTGTGTACGGGTGCTCCGGTGCGGAAGCTAAGCGTTGCGTGCTTCGCTGTGCCGAAGGTCCTCTTAGAGCCGCGGCCGCAGCCCCGATTCCCTCCAGTGATGAGAACGAAGCTCCCCCAGGAGCTTTACGTCCCTCATTCCAAGCACTGCTTGATGAGTGTCCGAGAGGAGCCGAGACCTTGTTGACGCGTCTAGTTCATATACTTACCGAGAAAGGTGGGTACTGTCTTTATTATACTAAAACATAAATGTGGTAGAGTTGTGTTGCAGTGTATTATGCTGCTATAACAGATGTAGTCGACGTGGAAGAACTACATTGAAGAAAATACCATGCGAAATAGCAGCATAGTAGCTGATGTAGTCGTATGGTAATGCATAGTACCCCTTTGACAAAAAAAGGGCTTCCATCTTAGTCCTTAAAAGCATCTGTATTTTCATTATTAGTTAAGGCAAAATGATGGTGTCTAGGTACCAACATCCGCTTTCTATCAGTGGATTGTACTGTTACGACAGCCAGTTGCGTATTGCATCACGTTGTACCAGAACGTTCCTGATGATAATGGTCAATGAACTCTGTCACCTCAGTCCCCCTCATGACCATGGGTGCTGTAAAATACACGCAAAGTCGGGAATTTCAAATAAGTTAATATACGCCATAAAATCCATAAAATTTAAGTTTAAATAAACCTAAGTTTTATGGATTTGATTTTGGATAAATTTTATTAACTAGACAGAGGCCATTTATTTAAATAGTTAATAAAATTTGTACCCAATAACATACAATTTTCAACCGACTTAAAAAAGCAGGAGGTTCTCAATTTTACTGTATTCTTTATGTGTTGCCTCAGAACTTTTTTCTAGGTGAACTGATTTTGATGATTCTTTTTTTATTTGAATGCTGGTGGCTTGTCATGTGGTCCCATACAAATTTGATGAAGATCTGTCCAGCAGTTGTTGAGTAATACTTAATATTTTTTTTTTTTTCTTTTTACATTTAGCAATTACTATGTAAAAAACATAGCCATTCGTAACTAAATGTATGAATCTCCACACATATAATATTTACTAGTGATCGCCTAGTGGCCGAAGGTATATGTTTAGCAAGCTGTATTTAACATTCTACTGCACAATAATATACAAAAAACAGATATCTAATATACAAAATATAAAATAAATGCTTTTTTGCCTTGACATGCACTTCACAGAGTATTGAAAAACGAACATTGGAAGTCACACAAAATTCACAGCTCATTCAGTCAATCTGACAGTAACAACATTTAAAAAAATACGACGATATCTAGGGTATGTTCCGAAACGTTTCCAGTATACTGCTGAATACAAATGACGTCATCAATTGACACCATATTGTACTGGCGTGTCGCCGCCATATTGTCGGATAACCGGCCATAATGAAACAATTTTTAATTGTGTGTGCGCTGAATGAAGCATGCCAAAATTTGTTTTTATTTATTCAAATACAAAAAATTATAGAATAATTGCTGGTATCTCCATTAGGAGGATATAATGATTTTTGGAGCACAAAATGACAAAATAATCGCCAACACTTTTCCAATATGGCGCAAATGTATGACGTCATATACTGTCCTGTGTTTTGGAACGGATCACCAGTATAGCGTCGATTCATGACGTCATTTGTGGGTTGTATTTCGGAACATACCCCTTCTCTGTGAACTGTTTGACCACGGACTATTGAGTGTTTGACATTGGTCTTAGAGTAATAACTTAGAGTAATTATATAGTTAGTTCTTTTATATATATTATATATAGTATCAGTATGAACGTCAACAAAAAAAATATGTCCAAGCAACAATTTTGTGTTTGACTTGGCAGTGTGAACATATATTAATTTCATGTATTTATAACACAATGTAAGTTTTAGCTTTCTACACTCCTTCTCCAAATTAATTTTAACTATGGCAAATCTCACACTCCTTCGTGCGCACAAGATGCTCAAAGGGGTACAAAGTTTTCTCTTCACGTATATTATTAATATATAAATAATGTTATTTGTTAACAGCGCCCCCTAGCCACGAGCTGGTGTCTCGTGTCCGGGAGCTGTACGCTACGCGCGTTTCCGACGTGCGTTTCCTTATTCCTGTCCTCAACGGACTTAGTAAGAAAGAGGTGAGTATAAATGAAAATTGTAACTGATAGAATCAGGCGTTACTTTGCGGAAATCCATTATAATAAAAGATATTAGTTACTTCGCTACTAATATTTTTTATTATACTAACTTAGTTATTAACTTAGTTAGCGGAAGGTTGCGAAGTAACTAATATTTTTTATTATGAAAATTGTAATATCTTTAATAGGCAATTACTGTAAAAAACCTGGTACCTGGTAGAGCCATGCTGCAATATAGCTATATTATGCTTTTAGCACGAATAGGTCGGCTCGACGGGGTAGGATCACGCTCTCACAGAATACCAGCGTAAAATATCAGCTTTATGCTATGTATTACGTATGGTGATTGGTAGAGAACCAGAAACCCATGTTACTGGAAATGAGGAATTCCATTAAGATAGATTAAGGTTCTTGAGAGTGACAATGTATCTGTATTTTGATTCTTAATTGAGGATATATTTAGATTTCTTTCGGCCACAATATCCATTTATCAGGTAGACTGTATGCTCGTTTGTCACCCTTATTCTATAAAAAAAAACCGCTAAAGCGACCAAATAGCTGCGGATATCCGTTCGGGAATTCCAAATTCAAATCCCACAGAATGGTAACACTCAGTAGCTACGTGGTTAACTCTTCGCTCACCAACCTGCCAGTTATTAGGAAAATCTTTCATCTTGTGTATAAGCGCAATATTAAAAAGACCCTTGTCTATGGTTAAGACAGGTTGTCACATAAAGAGAGACCTTAAACTACTTGTGAAGAACGACTGACAAATAAACGACAAAACTTCATTCGAGTATCGACGATAGGGACAACGCTCTATAAAGCAGAAGTTCGTCGATGATGGCTGGTAGTCTTTTGACCCTTAGCTCAAGCGTAGTAAATCATACGTACATTAACATTCACGCCCGTCACCTAGATGCGTAGGCAGAGACTACAGACATCCATTCGGCATGATCTTGACACTTCTTCTCGCCTACTTTGCATCCATACACCGGCATACACTCTTGGAGGTTAAGGGAACTCTTACTGTGGCCAATCTTCAATATATCGCCAATTTGGTCGATAAAGTTCCGTCTAGGGTGTCCCTTGCTGGCTCTACCGTAGGGATAATCGATATTCATCGATGGTAGATAAACATCAATGTTTAGCGGGAAAACATCGATGTATTTATATTTTGTGCCGAGTTAGTGTAATAAATACATTTAATTAATACAGTAATAAGATTATTGTTTATTTTGCCACATCGATATTTTCGGAGATCGATATTTTCCTTTCGTACGTCGATATGATGATTTTGAACATCAACGTTTTCTAATATTACTTTTGCTACATAAATTTGCTTTTTCACTCTCCTCATTCAATCTTTCTACATACATCATCACTTAAAATTACAATTAACAATTTCTTTGGTACCAAAGATCGAACCCAACTTACGACGGTCTCTTTAGTCCCCGAGCTACCACAGTTCATGTTTATATTTTCGACTATTTCCTATTTATTCGCAGATTCTAGCTGCCTTGCCGAAATTAATTAAACTGAATCCTGTGGTTGTAAAAGAAGTTTTCAATAAATTGCTGGGACTACAAAATCCTAATGAGGAACACTCACCTGGTAAGTACATAAATTAACCCTTTCCCTGTCCCGTGACACACATATGGGTCATTGATATTGTCTTACTATTGTGTCTGCAAATCGAACAGTGTGTTAGTCATGTAATTAAATTCGAGGACGAATACTGCAAACATGACCGAGTTCTAGATGATTTTGTTGATTTTATTATTAATGTGCAGGACGATTCAGATGATTCTGATGATGGCTGCTTCGAAAGTGTAGAATTAAGTTCCAGTGATATTGATATGGACATGTGATTGATTTGTAATTTTGATGAGTCTTGCATATAATAAATAGTACATAAATTTATTACCTAATAGTGTATTTTGTAACCTACACAAAGTCTTTTTCCCATAATTTTGTAGTCATCAATTAATTTTCTAACAAAATATAATCACGTGTTCATCCGTAACTACTGTGACGTCACATATCTTAAGAACTGACCAGAGCACATTTCGCCTATTGTGTATCACGCTACGAGCGCCCGCCGCCTGCTATACCTCGCAAGTGAGTGCTCAATTAAGCGGTTTGCCTATATGTGGTAGGGTTTTCTGCCTAGGGGTTCATGCTGGTTGGCACCATCAATGTCTGCAACCAAGCTACCAACGGTAATGGAACCAAGATAATTACAGGCATAGACTAGACTGCTAGGATGACAAGACATCTTTAGCCTTCTATATTTGAATTGTAGCGTTTACAGACAACAATAGAATCGTTCGATCATCGGAAGGATCGTTTGCGTATTTAATACAAATTTTCAGTATTTTATTTCTGACAACTTATTTATCTCCACACATTCCGGATTGACTGGGAGAAAATTTCAGAGGCATTAAGTCCGTCCTTTGTAATTATTTTTATTGAGGTGTTATAAACAATAAATTAATAAATTGTTTACTATGAAATTTTAATAAGATTGCTTAATTAATATTAACATTAAAATTATTTTATTTTCAGTTTGTATAATATGTAAGTATGTCATTCACTACCACTATCACTAAAGGCCATCACAATTCTACTGCTGAACATGGGCCTCCTTATATTACAACAAATTACGGTGCTGAGCCACCTGCATCCATGGGCTGCCTGCGTGTCTCACCAGGTCATCATTCCATCTACGAGGTAACTGACATAGCCCAGAGGATCAGTAAGCCAAAGTGGCAATGGGCCAGCCATTCAGTTCGATATTCATAAGTTCGTTATTCATCAGTTCGTTTTCCTGTCGAGAAATTCTCAGTGGCTTACCCTAAGTCACATAATTTCCCCCCAGTGCCTCGGAAAGCACGTAAAGTCGTTGGTCTAGCGCCTGATCTCTCTCCGGTCGTGTCGGATCACCGTCCCATCAGACTATGAATAGAGAGTGATCCTGTGCATGAGCATACACTCAGGCACTGTAATTCTTTCCTGCGTAAATGGCTAGTTTTCAGTTTGTATTTCATTCATTGGTGCCTAGATCATGTAATAATAGTCTTAAATATTCTCTGCCGCAGTATAATACATTCTCTTCTCTAAGTACAGCATTCAAAGTTTTCAGAGATGGTATTATTTTAAAAGTGAAAAACTTAGTAACTTTTCTTCTTACCACGCTTTTTGTGAAATCGTTTATTTCCACTCTTTTCCTGAGAATCTGTTTTGTTTTTTTACCCGGAACGAAATTCGGTCTGGAGGATATTATTATTAATATGTACAATGTCCCATGATAAAATTAATATGGTTTTAAAAAAGTACAAATTCATTATCGCCTTTCGAAACATTTTTCCAGTCTCCCCAGAGGACCTGCTAGTGGAACTTCACCTTATAGACCCGAGTAAAGCTGACCTCAAATACATCATAAAGGCAACGGCGATTTGCTTCGCCGAGAAGAACACCTACACACAAGATGTAAGAAATTTTTTTAATTTTTATTTATTTGGGTTACTATCTCATTTCTTACAAATTACGAAACCGATAACTTCAATAAATTAAAATACATAGCTACCACATATCGTCCCGTGGCAGTCGTAAGAGACGATAGAAGGAAACTGAAACAGGCGATGGGCAGCAACATGTCCTTGATAACAAACTAAATAATAAAAACTACGGTTGCCAACCAGCCTGCCAAGCGTGGCAACTATAGCAAAATCCCCACTATGAAGTAATCTATTATATTAAATAAAATTCGAAGTTGAAACTACACAAACTAACGTTCAAAACGTTCCAAATATATAAGGAGTATTAAACGAGCAATTCTTGTATATATATATATATATATTTTTTTTTTTTTTTTTTGAAACAACAATGACAATGAAAAACTGCTACAATAACATTAGAATACGACGGTAAATTTTGGTAAAGCGTCAAGGCTTATAATAGCTCATATAGGTGATCGGGTGGTCACGAAATCGAAGTACCCCGGTTCGAGTCCAGATGTCATCGGTCCACCTTTTTTTTAAAGTTCCCTTCTTTTGTGAGAAATCTATTATTTCGAGCCCTTTTTTAGTATTTTTTTTAAAACATGAAAAATTAAATTAAACTAATTGCACTCATGATTTTTTTATTTAAAAAACCAGTTCAGTTTTTTTCTATTATGTCGGTAAGATCAAAAAATATTATTCATATTTCATCAGTATGTAATTTGTATCTAAATATAATTTCCAAAAAACACGATTTCCAAAAAAATACTGAGCAAAGCTCGGTCATCCAGGTACTAAGGATATAAGTGAATAGTTAAGGGATACTTATACATCCCTGAACTATTCACTTCTATATGGCGGATATAGTATCCGCTCAAGCGTCCAGCCCTCGCGGCTGATTTACCCTTGTACGTCCGGATACGCGTGGCCCTAATTCGGCTGCTACCGCGCTTGCATGTTGTATAATAAAACCCACATAGCTACTTAACTATAATAGATAGAGTAGAGATAAAAATTACTAAAAATTGACAGAAGAATGCGAATTAAACCTATGTATGTTTTAAAACCCAAAAATGTTATTTAAGATATTAAAAATAGTTGTGAACATTGAATTTGGAGATAAATAAATGTATAAATTTTATTAATTTACACCTCAACGAAGAAATATTGTATTTTTTACCCATAAAATAAAGTCACAACAAACTAGACGTATTTTCCTTTTTTTATGATGCATATATGTTAGTGTTTAATTAGCGTTATGTAATTAAATAAATCGCAACAAAACACCTACTCCTAATTTTACCGCGATGCCTCGAGCGCTTTGGACTCGCTCGCTAAGCAAGATGGCCTCCTATTTAAGGTCTCATGCACACTTTGTAATTTACGCAACTTAAAAAAAGTTAATTACGGGATTTTTTTAAGTTGGGGTTTAAATTAAACATCAATAATAAAATTAATGTACAGTTTATTGAAATAGTAAAAAAATATTTTACAAATAATAGTATTTTATTTAAAACTAAGAATTGATTTTAACTAAATATTTATAAAAAAGGACTAAATAAAAACTAAAATAAATAAATAAAAAATAATAAATTATATGTGACACTGCATAAAACCACAAGTTTTTGTTACATTCCAATATATACCTTTTTGTACCTAATTTTATTTCGTGTACGTTCCATGGGCTGAGCAGACAAGAACTGGTCCTTCCTATCCACTCCTCCCATGGACTTGCTGTAGTCCAAAACAACGCTTGGCTTGTATGTTAGTCGGTCATATTTTTGTCGCGTATCTGTATCTGGAGGCAATGGTACGTCGAAAGCATGCTATCTAGGTTAGCATCTCACCATACGATTACCGACAAATCGGAACAGTAGCTCGCCAATACTTCACCTTGTCTTAGTTTCGTCTTTATTATTGTTTTCAAAGAATCGGGAACAAATTCCCGATTCAGTCGTAAGGTCCCAAAGCAGTCTGTTCGTTGTCGTTTCAGACAACGCGCTAATAATGGGCTAAATTAAAAATTGTCCATTATTAAATACGATGTCACCCGTGAGGACTACGATAGAATGCCTCCTTTCTAGTAAAAAGGTTCTGCGGTTCTCTACACTCACCATATGAAACACAGCAGCATTAAGCTACTATTTTACGAATGTATTCTGTGAGAGCGTGATCCTTCCACGGTCTTCAATCTATTTGTGCTACAACTATACTACTAATATCACTGCAGCATGACTCTACCACGTATAATTTTTTTAATATAAAGTGAGAAAAACAAAATATACGAAAGTAGTTTTTATAAAATACAAAAAATTTAAAGTACCCCCTAACTTGAGATGGTCCACTCCCACCTCCAGTACGAACCCCTTGGCTTCTATGACTTCCACGAGCCAATTTAGTTTCGGTTGGTGATCTAAAATTGTTGTATGTATTAATTTAAACCATTAATATCATTAAGGTAAAAAACAATAATAATAATGTGTTAAAGAAACATTAAAAATTACTATTTTGATTAAGAATCATTATAAATTAATAAGAAATAAAACTCAAAACCAGCACCACACAAGATTAAGACCGTAAAAATAACAAAGCAAAACATCTGGCAAACATATTTTGCTGTTTGTACCGACCCTTATTTAGAACTATTGTCGTTACGTCCGTGGATATAAAACTAGCCATAACAAAAAACCTGAGTAACGCACTAACATTTTTAACGAATCTTCAATTAATATGGTTTATTTCTATTTGTAAAGTTCATTATTATGTTTATTACGAACTAAAACTCGTTTGCTTATATATAATTTTACAGAAAAACTAAGTAAACAAAAATAAACTTGGGCCGACAACTTGAGAGCGGCCATTTCTTTCGGAACAGCTATAATTTAAATTTAAAATAAGACTCGATTTTACACTAAGAACTGTGATATGTATACGTAATTATAAAGCAAAAATCATCTAGTTTATTGTGACGTATAATATTCTAAGTAATATTAAATAAAACTAAAGTACTTACGACATAATCGTTGACACTCCACAAGCACTTGTTCACAAAACACCGAGAGTAGAGTAGACTATTGTTAAATAATTACGGTTCATTCGTTAAGATTTGTTACACTGCCATCTCGTTTGTAATACGTAAAATAGTTCGTCAGCTATCGATTCCAAAAAACAAAACTTACAAAAATTACCGCAAATGGCCCTAGATGTCAGTTTTATAAAACTTGACGCTATGGCTACTTCACTATCCGGGACGTACAACGCTACTTTTGTTTTGGCTAGCGTAGTAGCCATGGACGTTTGAGTGGGTATACAGTTTAGTAAAATAAAATATATGTTAAATTTTATTATACCTTGAGAAAATGCCAGTGCCCAGCAGTGGGATACATATAAGATGTTACTTTATTATATACATAATATGGTTGACTATCCAAACTAGATCTGTGATAAAAAACAACTTCTAAGACACGAGGTTTTGATAATACCGTTTATTAACCACCACTGACCATCGTAGTAACGTCTTTCAAAGGTGGCTATTATGACATTTTTCTCTATAAAGAGAATAACATTGGAATAATGTGCGATGTGTGTGGTGCGGGGAGTATTTATAATAATTAAAATACACTAATGAGTTATGCGGTTATGACCAAAACAAGGATTTGTTTCTTCTTTCATGCATGTCCACAACAACTGAACTGACTTCGAATTAATAAATTACGATGTGATTCTGATCATTAGGTATTATCAGCGGTTCTGCAGCGCTTGGCAGAGGAGCCTGACATCCCGGTGCTGATGATGCGCAGCGTGTTGCAGGCCCTCACTCTGCATCCTGGGCTGGCACCGCTCGCCCTCGATATACTGAGATTGCTCATTGACAAGGAGGTAACAATACGTGTATTGTTTTTTAAAAGAATAAATGTGACAAACGAGCACACAGTCCATCTGGTAAGTGGATGCTGTAGCACATAGACATCAAAATATATCCTCGATCAAGAATCAAAATGCAGATGCGTTGTTATCCCAAAGGACTAAGATGAAATGCCCCCGTTTCCAGTAAAATGGTCTCCGGTTCTTTACACTTAATATATAATCTCTGTGAGAGCGTGGTCTGTTCTTGGTTGAGCCAATCAAGACGTGTTACGATAAAAATGTTACTGTGTGCATATTTTTTAGTTCTATCATCTTCCTTTACTTATATATATATATATATATATATATATATATATATATATATATATATATTTACGTTCATTGCATTTTGAAGGGATGTAAATAGTCGGATACAATAATAATAGCAAGAGGAAATAGGTCGGCTATTCGTCCTACAATCATTATATAAATATAGAATTGCTCTACCACGTAAAAAAAAACATCCTCCGTGTAATGGCGGTCTAAAAAATTATTTATGGTCACACGGTCGGACCATAAAATACGACGACGGCGATATTCCGTCAAATTCCAAGCGGTCGGATCCGACCACACCCATCCACAGTACTTTAAACCATAAAAACTCATATTTAGAGACTACTTGTCTATGAAGAAGTTTGGTATTATAGGCTCCATGTGAAATTTCCTATCCTTTAATGCAATAAAAAAACTCATTTAATCTATCGTATTTATTTATAATCTACGTTCATTTCGTACGACTGTTAGGTGTGGCGTGTTATTGTGTTGATTTTTGGATTTTTCTAGTGTGTTATTAGTGTTTAGTATAGTGTTTTATTATAAAATTGTTATAAAAGATTTTGTGTGAATGTAATTTATCTTTTAACGTAAATAATTTCGAGTAATATACGAGGGGTGATCCAAAAGTAATGATAATCGGTTACTTCAGGTCCGCATAAAAATCCAAAAAAAAAATATTTTTTGCTTGCTTATGTACTCACTACGTCAGCCAAAAAAATCATATAAATAGATCACGATTTCCAGGAGATACATTGATTTGAATACGAACTGTCAAAGAGATAACATCAACATGGAGAAAAACGAAATTAGAGCTGTCATCAAGTACCTCTGTTTATGAAAAAAATGTCTTCAAAAGACATACACAGTGACTTAGTGGAAACATTGGGGGACTATGCTCCTCCATATTCTACAGTTGCACGCTGGGCCAAGGAGTTTGAACTAGGCAGAACATCCACTGAAGATGAAAATCGCGAAGGACGCCCATCCACGTCCCTCACTGAAGACAACGTGAAAAAAGTCGAAGATGTTGTGTTGGCAGATCAAAGAGTGACCATCAGGCATGTAGCTGAGGTCACAGGGATCTCATATGGCAGCGTTCAAAGAATGCTTGCGAACGAGTTGCATATGAAAAAGGTCTCTGCGCGTTGGGTTCCCAGTATGTTAACCGACGAGCAAAAGAAAAATCGATTTGACATTTCGAGGGTCAATCTCGAAAAGTTCCAAGCAGATCAAGAAAATTTTTTGTTCCGTTTTGTGACTATGGAGGAGACCTGGATCCACCATTTTGATCCTGAAACGAAACAACAATAATAACTTGGAAGCGAGCCTCCTCACCGACGCCAAAGAAATTCAAAGTTTCAAGTTCGGCGGGAAAGGTTATGGCATCTGTTTTTTGAGACGCTCAAGGCATAATTATGGTGGAATATTTGGAAAAGGGAGCCACTATTACGGGCTCTTACTACGCAGACCAAATAAGAAGATTACGGGAGGCCGTTAAGGAAAAAAACGCGGCAAACTGCGAGCTGGAGTGCTGTTTCACCAAGACAACGCACCGGCTCACAAAGCCGCAGTTGCGATGGCTGCCATTCAAGAATCGGGATTCGAACTGCTCGAACACCCTCCCTATTCGCCAGATCTAGCTCTTAGTGACTTCTACCTCTTTCCTCAGCTCAAGGAACGCCTCCGAGGCAAGAAATTCGAAGACGATAGCGAAGTAATGGCCGCTATTGAAGCGTTTTGGCCTTCCCAAAGACAAAGACATTCAAGACAAAGAATTTTTTTCAAAGGGAATCCTGGGTTTAGAAAAAAGATGCACTAAATGTATTGATTTGTTAGGAGACTATGTAGAAAAATAAATTAATATTTTAACTTTAATTACCGTGTTTTATTTTCATTATCATTACTTTTGGATCACCCCTCGTATAGAAATAATGGTGATATTCACGCTGCTGTCCTGAAAATACAATTAAAATCTATTTGTAATTAAGTAAAAGCACTAAAACAAGTAATATAACATAATAAATAAACAGAAACAAGTATTAAATTGAAATTTATAATGAATTTTATTGAAAATAAATGTACGACAAATTCCATGTTAGGTTATTTTTAGCGACGCCGCGTCACGCGAAGCGTGCTAGCGGTGCAAACATTTTAGCTGGGGACTGAGGGGTTAATATCTTGTCGTTGGCGCTAGGCGTAAAAAACGCAGACTGGCGACGGGCAGCAGCATCGAAGATTCGAAATATCTGGTACTGCGATCTTACATATGCTTGCCTACCGCGCGACAATTAAAGCAAATCCTTTCAAACATTGCTAAACATACGCCTCCCTATAGAACGCCTCATAAGGGACTATATTTGCCATAGATGCCACGCTCGACAACCGCACTTTTTTTAATTTTTAAATTGTTATCAGTAGATGTTGGTGCTCATCCCCAGTCTTACTTCTCTCTGTCGCCTCTTACGACACCACGACGGATCATATGTGATAAGTGGATATTGTTACACATGTCGGTGTGCAGGTGTGGACGCACAAGGTGGCGTGGGAGGGCTGGGTGAAGTGCTGCGAGCGGCTGTGCGGCGCGGGCATGGGAGCGGGAGGGGGCGCTGCGGTGGGTGGCGCGTGTGAGCGGGACGGCACGTGCGCGCTGCTGCGCTCGCTGCCGGTGCACGCGGCCGCCGCGCTGCCGCCGCACCTGCAGCAGCTCTGCTCGGTACCTACTTCATTTTTTTATTTAATCTCTCACGTACCAAACCTATACATGAGTTGAAATGTCATCTTTTTTATTAACTGGCTTTACGGCTCTGGGTTCTAGCCTTTCTGAGCCTATCATTTCTTTCTGAATTTTCATTATTTTTTCTTCACAATATGCTGATGCGTCACATTGCGAAGTCCTTGGGAGATTTTGACGACAGCTCAACCTAGCGTACAGTTGATGACGATAGCCACTCAAGTTCATAAGGCGCCCAAGCGATCAAAATAACTTGAAGTTTATATCGACATCAAAGCACTTGTTTCGTCGTTTCTCTAATAGTTCACAAGCGCGGGCACTTAATTCACAAAATCACATCACTTTTACGAATCAAAATCCACTTCAAACCATTAATCAAGCGACAAAACAGGGGCGACAATCCTTCTACTGCCAAGTTCGCGACAAAACTCCCATGTCATCTTTGGTCCCCTCCAAACACTGACCTCTATGTATACAAGTACGCTGGACTGGCTATAAGCCGTGACATGATGAGGTAATTCGATTTGCGCCATTTTGGCGCTGTCAGCAAAAGTGCACGTCCACGGAAGTAATAATAGGGATAAGACAGTGTGACAAAATATATCGATAAAAATTCTATACCCTACCTATACCTAAATAAATAGAATGGACTTTATCATCATTAAAGCCCTTCACAAGTCCACTGCTGAACTTAGGCCTCTCCCAAGGAATACCACAAAGCACGGTCCCCTGAGCCACCTGCATCCAACAACTTCCTGTATGTCTTACCAGGTTTTCACTCCATCTAGTGAGGGAAATTCCGACACATTACCTGCCGGTACGAGGCTGCCACTCAAGAACCTTTTTTCCCCATCAGTTATCGGTTCTTCGAGCAATATGGCCGGTCAATTGCCACTTCAGCTTACTAATCCGTTGGGCGATGTCGGTCACTCTAGTTCTACTGCCGATATCCTCATTCCTAAGTTTATCCTCCTAAGCATTCCAGCTTCGGCAGTGCCACGTATTCTAAGGGGCTTGACATATCGTAATCCATTGGTTCTTGATCGAACACTTAATTGCTTTTGTCGGTGGATGTTGCCCAAGAGGAAGCTGCCAAAAACCGTGAATGTAAATGATGGCCAGAATTTGTAAATAAGAAATAAACTAAAGTAGGGCTGCTACGAAGTTAAAACACAAATTAAATCTTGAGACTCGAGAGAGAATGTAATCTCTAGATTGGCACTTACTAAAACCCCATGGTGTTCCAACTCTGACTCCTTCTGACTCCACCTGCACTACGGACTCCCCAAGCTCGATATGTGAATGGAGCTCACCAAAGTCGCGAATGATAGTCGAGTGGCATCGCGTCGCCAATCGCCATACCAACACTCCTCTTCCCTGACGACTCCACCTCGGCTACAGCGGTACAGGGAGAAGAATCTCCTCTAGCCACTGCCCACTAAAACTCATCCAACGTGGCTCAACATCATCAGGCGATCTTTCGACACTTGGCTATGACCCTTGAATTTGTGGAAAAATGAGGAAAGAAGAAATAAAAAAAAAACATTCGAAATAATAATCTGATACTTTTACACTTACTGGTACTGGTACTACCAGAAAATATTGTCGGAATACTGCACTTTGAAAGTGGTGCAGTTCTCATGTCTAGTCTTCTTGTTCAGTCGTCTGTGAAATGTTCCGAACAAGTATAGTCATTTTGTTTCGGACGCCAATTCACAATATTTATGATTTTAAGCCATAATTTTAGCTAGATTCAGTTGGAAACATGTTAATTAATAAACATTTGATAATCATCTGTTATGGGCAACTTTGTTTGTTAACAGATATGGGTAGGAAAGAACATCGATAATTATTATAGACAAGAAACTGGACAACCCTATTGAATTTTATTGTTTATCAAAACTCAGTAATTTACAGCCAGACATGTTGGTATAATATATGATATTAAGATTAGTAACAATAACAAATTTTTAAGTACTTATATTATCAAATAGTTTTAATATGTTTAATATTTGCTGCTAATTCACTTACATGTGAAATGTTATACAACTTCCCTTTTGGTAACGAGTTTTACAGATTACGCACTCTCATTATTAATAAAAACAATTCTTATTATGTAACTAATATTATACACAATCAAAAAATATATAATACTTTCGTTTTTTAGTTTAAAAGTTCAAAATACAGACTTATTAAATAAGACAATACAAATAAGACAGACAGACTTTGGCATATTATGTCAATTTTATTTTTCAAGACATCCTTTAGCGGCGCTTCAAATTGGCACAGTCATTTTGTATGGTATAGCCAGTCCAGCGTACTTGTATATATAGAGGTCAGTGCCTCCAAAGAATATAGTAATATTTAGAAAGGACCACTCAGAACCAACGAGTATACAATCACTGCGTTTACTCAGAACCATAGATAAGAGTACGATTTTTTTAAATGTTATTTATAAGAATTATACAACTAAAGTTTTATTAGAATTCGTTTCGTTACTAAATTACCCTTCTTTTTAGTTTCCGCTTTTATCTAACCATCGCATTTACTTCATATACTTCAGTCTATTTCCTTCGCCGCGTAAGAGTAAGAGATCACTACATTAAGATGACACATCGAAAAAGTGGCTCAATGCTATCACCGTACTGATCCGAGTAAATACATAATTTCTATAAAAACTTTAAAAAACGCCGTTATAAGGTCTAAAATTGCGTAGCGTCTGCGACGATAAATACCGCTTAGAAATTGTCAGAATTTTAAAATTATTGATTTAAGTAATTTCGTTGTAATTTCAACTATAGTGATTTTTTAAAGGTATTTTCGCAAATAATTATGATCGAGTCAAAATTATACAATCCTGTTTTTGGACAATCAAATTCAAGATAAAGACATGAATTTGCCTATATTAATTTGTGTGTCATAGTCCTATACTATTCGATGAAAGGGGGTGCATTTTTCGCGGTGTCGCCTTAATTATAAAAATAGTAGGTACAAAAGTAAGTTTGTTGTTCATTTTTCATATCAAAAGTAAAAAATAGTTTGTTTTTAAAAGTTATTTGCTTATATTTTGTCTCGAAACAATTTATAAAATTTTCATTTTTAAATACTGTTTCGTTTACGTAAGAAATAAAATAGTCAGAAGTAACTTAAAATAAAATGTTAAATTTAAAATAAGTTAATTAAACGCCATAAAATCCGTATAAATAATTTTATTCAAGGTGTAGTGTTCGCGTAAATTTAAGAAATCATTATGAAATGTAGTGTTAGCTTTCACTAAAAATAGTGCAAATTTTTTTTTATATTCTACCATGTTCAATGTACGAAAATTACGTTTTGTATAATTCCGATATATCGTGAATATTATGACGAAGTACTTATAAATAAAAGTAGCATTGTCCAAAAATAGCGTAACAATGTATATACCTATGAATATATTTTTTATTTATTTAAAGGCATCTACTGAGTGTATATATTTGCAATATCGATATAATTATATTGTATATTTTTATTTTATTATTATAATATTTTGATTTATGTTACTACAGTCGCATTTTGCTATCAATTAGTCCAACCGTTATATACATATATAGTCATCAATACAATTTTCTAAAAATAATATTAGTTCTTCATCTAACTTACACGTACATCGTTACTGTGTAATAATTCATAATTCTTTATTGCATGTCACAAAGTATAAAGTTGGAACAATATATTTACAGAGCATGTGACACCCTGTACGGGCGTAGCATATTAAAACAGAGTTTAAATTTTAATTAATATAGAATTCATTTTCATTTCATTCAAATTACAGTATTTATAGTACACAATATATAAATTATATTATAAAATGTCAGACTAAATAATACTTACACATTTGTTTTAAAAATTAAATTTCATTAAATATTGTCAAATGATCATTCGTCATTTATATTATGTAAATAAAGTTTAAAAATTTTGATGAAAAATACTAACAATGTCAAATATGTAAATAGAAATAAAGAAAATTGTCAAATAATTAAAATTGATTTATAATTTATAAGTAATATGTTTTTACAATAAGCATTTTCTTGAGTACTATTTCAAATTTACGACACTGGAGGGCATTTATTGTATTAGGTAAATAATTGTAAACCCTTATAGCCATGTAGTAGGGACCATTTTTATATAATGTGAGATGTGTGGCAGGAGCAACCAGATTATAACCTCGGCGTGTGCCGTAGCGACTGGGTCTGTCTTTAAATCGCTGGAAATAATGAGGATTTTTCCTAACAAATCGGCATAATTCAAAAATGTACATGCTCGTTACAGTTAGTAAGTTATATCTGGGGAACAACCTTCGACATGAATCTCTTGTAGCTGCGAATGTGATGATTCTAAGGCAGCGTTTTTGGAGCATGGATACCGCGTGTACCTCGGTAGAGTTTCCCCAGAATATGATGCCGTATCTTATCCAGGCAGCTGCGTGGCTGTGGTACGCAGTAAGTGCGCACTGCTCATTAGTATCCTTACGTAGCTCACGCAGGGCATAGCAAAAACTGCTCAACTTACTCACAACTCTTTCTACATGAGTTTTCCATGAAAAAGTTGAGTCTATTATTATCCCGAGGAATGAAAATGTTCGAACTACCTCAATATTTATACCTTGGTAAGATATAGCGAGCGGGACTTCTGATCTCTGATATGGACGAAACTGCATTATTTTGGTCTTTTCAAAATTTAGTAATAAGCCTAAAACCTCTAATTCATTCACAATTTTTCTAAGGCATTGGGTTATTTTTTCCTGCAAACTACTTAGAATTTTTTGTTTACAAGTAATTATAACTGTCGCGTCATCTGCAAACAAAACGACTCTATGTGGTGCTACTGAAGGAAGTTCGTTGATGTAAATAGAAAACAACAAGCATCCTAGGACACATCCCTGCAGTATAGAATCTGTTACTATTGCAGTGGACGAATTTATGTCATTTATCAGTTTTCGATATTCATTTATATGTGATACCTGCACGTACTGTTTTCTATTCGCAAGATAAGAAGAGAGCCATTCGTGCGGTTTCCCTCGTATACCTAGCGAATACAGCTTTTCCAGCAAGGGTCCATGCAAAACGCGATCGTATGCTTTGGACATGTCCATAAAAATAGCTGTAGCACATTTTCCTTCATTTAGAGCATTCTGAATTTCTAAGATGCGGTCAAATACAGCGGACGTAGTAGAATGATCTTTTCGGAAACCATGCTGATATTTACTAAAAATGCTGTATTTTTCAAAAAAAAAAATATTTTATTACAAATTATTTTCTCAAAAATTTTTGAAATTACAGACAGAAATGCAATGGGGCGATAATTGGATACAGCAGTTTTATCGCCTTTTTTTAAAAATAGGTTTTACCACGGCTAATTTTAGATTTTCCGGAAAAACGCCATCCTTATACGATTGATTTATAAGAAAAGTTAAGGGCTTTACAAACTCATCAACGTAATATATGAGTAGCTGGGATTTCATCATATCCGCAAGAATTGTTTCTTTTTAGTCCCATTATCGCTTTTTTTTACATCAGCTTCTGTAACACTACTAAGATATAGTGAATTTGGCAAGGATACTCGAGATGACCGCTTATTTAGAGAGGAGCAGTTATTTGAACTCATAGTTATATATAATAATTATTGAATAAGTTTGCAACTTTACTTGGAGATGTTATATTTAAAACGTCATTACGTAAACAAATGTTTTCATATTTTACACTTTTAACTTTTTTTAGTTTTTTCATTTATCATAGCCCACATAGTTTTATATTTATTACGTGACGTTTGCACTCTTTTTATGTAAGATTTTCTTTTTTCTGTGACTATTATTCTTTTTAGTATTTTGCTGTATATTTTTGTATAAGATTTTAAGGCTTCATTATTATAGTAGTTAGTAAGATAACGTAAGACACGTTTGTTGTAGCAACATTTTTTAATGCCTTTTGTTGCCCATCTTGTCTTTTATTTATTTTGTAATTTTTACAATTTTCGTGGAATATGTTCATCTAAAATAGACTTGATTTGGTTCTGAAATTTATTATAGTTTGTATTTACATCACTCGTTGGGGTCATTATATTACACCAATTAATTTCATTTAGTTTAATTCTGAATTTTTTCATATTATTCTCATTAAAAAGTCGTTTGTTTATTTTATAAGTAATATTATTTCTATTTATGTTCTCTTCCACTGGTATTTGTCCAATTAATGCGTGATGATCTGATAAGTCATAATTTTGTACAAAAGCCGTCACGTATGTATTTTTAGAAATTATAATTTGGTCAATGCATGATTTACTGTTTTGGGTCTCACGTGTAGGGGTTTCTATAAGACAGCGCAACCCTAAATAAGGTACGGTACGGTGTACGGGAAAGGTACACCGACTAATGTAAGTAAAGTAAAGTTACAGCCTATATACGTCCCACTGCTGGGCACAGGCCTCCCCTTATTTCTGAGAGGGTTTTAGGGCAAGGAAGTGTCCGCCGCGCTGCCCCAATACGTGTTGGCGAACTTCACATGTCTTCGAATTTTTTTTCCTATTTCTCGGACATGCAGGTTTCCTCACGATGTTTTCCTTCACCGCCGAGCACGTGGTAAATCAGCACTTAAAATTGCAATTAACAATTTCATTGGTGCCGGCGGGGATCGAACCCGGTTTGCACGCGTACTGTGAAATTTACAGCGAGCGCTAACCATCTGAGCTACTAAAAGTCACACCTGTCACCCAGAGGGGTAGGCAGAGATTAAGGATTTTCTTTTGGTATGATCTCTCAACACACCTCTCTCATATCTCTCACATCCATACATATACGAATAAACACTAACTCCTGTCATCCACAGGAGTAAGCAGAGACTACGAACTTTCATATAACACGATCGCAACACACCTGTTTTGCATCCTTTAGATCCTTATAACTTTGCATAGATGCTCGTCGATCAAGGGTATTCTTAATGTGTCCCATCTTCAATATCATCGCCAATTTGGTCGATGAACTTTCGTATAGTGCACTCCTTCTCGATTCTGTCGTTCACTTCTGCAACATCGATTTGCTTTGTCACTCCTTACTTGTTCGTTCTCTCTACATAATCAAACCATGAATTTAAACCATTTGAATACCAGCGTAAAATAGTAGCTTAATGCTGATGTGTTTCGTATGGTGAGTGTAGCGAACCGGACACCCTTTTTACTGGAAACGAGACATTCCATCTTAGTCCTCACGGGTGACAATGCATCTGCATTTTGATTCGTAATCGAGGATAGATGTAGATGTCTATGGGTCACAGCAACCACTTACCATCAGGTGGACTGTGTGCTCGTTTGTCACCAAATCCTGTAAAAAAAAACAACGAAGCATTCATTTCTTAATCCTGATCACAACATTATCTTGCAAATCACACTATTCTCTTGTCTCACAACTTTTCACACTGTTAGATTCAGCCATACTCCTAATTATTATTTTTTTCTTTGTTTAATTTTTAGTCCAAGAGCTAGTGAACCCCTCGCCTGTCAAGTTCTTATGCCATTTAAAACCGCCTGTCATTTAACATGTTTATTTTAAAACGTTTATTTTACCTTATCAACTGTGCTCCTTTCGATTCACCTGTCACGCTCATTGCAATCGCCTGTCAATTTTTTTTTTCAGGATTTACAATGACTAAACTACATCCTATTAAATTTTTAAGCTTACAGAAACAAGTTTATGTACTCTATTTATTTTACAATTTAAAAAATAAGGGGGCTGATGACGTGCAGGGCTGACGCCTGCCAGGTCATGGCTATTGCCCTTAGCATGCTATAAATGCTAAGTGTACAAATTTCCAACCTTACAGGAAGACCCTTACTCGGAGGGTTCACTAGCTCTCCAGCTATATGTGGAGCAGTGTGGCTTGTCAAGTGACAAGAAATCAGTTTTTCAATTTAGTGTTGCCATAGTGAGAAAAAAGTAAAATTTTTCATCACATTAATTATTAATTATTTGATGTTTACATAACTTAGCAAAAAATATTTTGCATTTTGCAAACACAAAATATGTCCTCGAAGGTATTTCAAATAAAATATAAAATTATTTTCTAAAAAAGTGTTTAAATACAAAATGGAAATAGGTATTTTGTATTTTACATTTCAAATACTGTTATTTTTAAAATGTCACATCTTTCGTTATAATAATGCATTACCACGCATTTTGCATTTAGAAGATTTTTTTATAAATTTTTTTCTCCATTTGCCTATATTACTTATTCTGAACCTTCTCTGCAAATTTGGCCGGTTATTACAAAATAACCCTGTATAGTAAGAAAAAAGAACACTTTCTTATGGCACAAACAAATTGACGTACAACAATATGCTAATTTCTGACAAAAAACCTAATTTATTAAATTTGGCTTTGCACGTCGAAGACATTCATCAATTAGTCTGCCAAGCGTGACGATTATAGCAAATTCATTCCACAATGGAATATCCCCATGTCTGCCTAGTCGTACACTTTCACGAGCTGATGATGATGAAGAAAAAAAATGGCATTGCGTGTGCAAAGGTAGGACTTAGCTAAGGACTTTAGACCCGTTTATCTAGGTCCATACGGCATGTTCGGTCTAACCCCTTCATCGTTCTGTTTGTTTGTGAGCGCGGCTTTGTGATGTGAATTCAGTCAATCTGTCGACTCCTAGTATGATGCAAACCTTGAGGCTGGAGTTTAGAGTCTCAGTCAATGTGGTCATTGGTATAGTACGGTTACCAAACCTTCATTTCCGTGCCATTGAAACGCGAACCCTGGTCATGTCTATGCTCTCCTTTCACCTTAACTTGATTGTACGTTATTGAAATTTTGAATAAATACTTATACTTTTATTTCAGGACCCCCAGTTTCCACAACCTGCTAATCCCTTGGAGCCGTTACCTCCAGGGATGGAATGACAAATATAGACAACTACGCAGGAAACGCGGATGTAAATTTTTTGCGGTATTATAGACTTTATAGCTTGAGTTTAAAGTCGAGAAATAAGATTTGCTTTGTCCCATTATGTTATGTATTTAAATATGAAGTGTCTTAAAATATGTGAATAAAGATTAAGTTACACGAAAATGATGTATCTATTGCCTTTTTTAAGGGTTTCGCTGTAATAAAAGTAAAAAGTAAATAAAAGGAACTCTTTTTATTTTGTTTAGTCCATCCGTTCATAAGTGTTAATACTTATATAAAAAAATATTACTTTTAAAGTACATACTTGAAATATTAGTAATAAACTTGGAACATACATTGGGCTCATTTTTATTATTCGAATAAAAATCTATTCTTATTACACACACTTAAACTGTTTATATAAAAAAAAGGTTATAATAAGTAAATGACTCGGGTTTAATATTTATATAATTTCATGTATTAGTTATTGATATGTTATTTTATTGCATGTATTGTCTATATATCGCATGTATTGATATTTTATTATGTATGTTATTCTTTTACAGCTTTGGTTGCCTGGAAGAGATCGCTATGTAGCGATAAGGCCGCCAAATTGTACATATAATTTGATTTTTGTTATGTTATGTGTATATTTGTGTGTGGTGTACAATAAAGCATATTCATTCATAAAATAACAATTGTATTACTATATATTATATATTTGTACACCACACTGTGGTATAGAACACACGATATCAACTGCAAATTTTACTAACACCTAACTCACTATATTCACAATTTTTTTAATTTATTTAAACGTAACCCCCACACTAGGATTTTCTCCTATATCCTGGAGGCAGTTAACAAACATAAATTGCACAAGGACAAACATCCAGCCCCGTTACAATTATTTGTAGGCCATACAAATACTTGTTGGGCGCGGGATTCGAACCCGCGGTCCTCAGCGCAGCCACTCGTTGCCAAGCCAAGGAGCCGTCGTACAAATAAATATATGTATTTGAAATAAAAACTTGAAATAAATGCATGATCAATCAATAGTTTAACTTATAGCTTTGTATTTTGGCGGCGGTTGCTTTGATGATATTGTCAATACAGTACGGAGTATCGGAAAGAATAAAGATCACTCAAAATTAAAGAAAAGAAATATTACTACAGCATGCGAAAACCCCGAGCAATGGGTGCGTTTGGCAGAAAAAAGAGCTAGCAAGCGCTTGTAAGCAAAATTGCGAAGCTAAACAGTTTTCGGCCAGGACACGTTTGCTAACTTCAGTAGCGCTGACACAATCCGCCATTTTGCTTATTTAATTTGTTTGTTTTGAAGTGGAGTTTATAAGTTGTTTTGTGCAATATTAGTTTTAAGTAATATAATGACATGAATAAACGTATATTATACATGTTATAAATAATTCATGATTGGTAAGTTTCTAACATAAATAGGTACTTTTCAAACATATATTTAAATTATGTTAGGCTCCCCGGTTAAAACTAACTTCGTGTCCTAGAGGAAAATAGCTAAAGACATATCCTAAAGTACCACATCAGCGACAGAATCCGCAACAACGTTGGGATCGTCCGGCGAGAAGCAAACCCGCTCCCAAGGGTAGGATGCAAAGAAAGACCGCATTCCATCCCAATCGGCTGTGAAAAGGACCAGGCTCGGGGTCCTCTCAATCCGGCCGCGAAGGACCAATTGAAAAGGACCAGGTCGGATTTCCCTCTTGATCCTGAAAAGGACCAATTGAAAGGGACCTAGCGGATCGGGTACTAAGAAACAGGAATCGAGGCTTCTCTCGATCCGGCCTCCTATAACGCCTACGTTGGGTTCGGGAACAACGTATGTGATCTCCGCAACGGAGTAACACACAAGGGCGATAACCTCTTCCTTTTCAGCAAGTAGGTTCAGACGGGGATTACGGGTCTTCCGAAGTCGTCCCGGTCCCGACGCCTTAATTCTTCGATGTGGACTGTATAACTTAAGGGATGAATTACTTGGGAATGAAACAGCAATTATCTTCAAACCGTTCCGTGAGAGAGTAATCACTTTTCCCTATCACTTCCCTACACTTTTTCTTTCTTCTTCTTATTGACTGCTGGTAAGATCCCCGAACGATTTCCTTGAATATTTCCCGAACCATTCCCGAACGAATTGCATTAAAACCCGTTCACTAAGCTACCCCAGAGCTATACGCGAAAGTGAGCCGCGCCATCTGCGCGCTTGCGCAACTTAATTACATGAATTTGTACTATTACTCTCTCACGTTTCACTCAATATCTTTATTTATTCAAATCATATACAAATACAATTTATCAATATAGGTAGTACAAAACAATATCTACACCATGATATACATCATATCTTCATATCATAAAAAACCTTTTATTTATTAAACGAAAACTGCCTATTTTACTCACAAGTTCGAAATCGAAATTTCTTAAATATTTAACACAGAAAGTTAAAACAATGTTTCTCACTTGAATTTATACATAAGCTAACCAATACAATAGTTTAATTTACATTTTTTCTATTTATTTCACTATTTAAAACACTTTTAAATTTCTTATACAAAACTATCATTATTTCACTTATACACAGGAATTTTCACATGAAAATAACACAGAATTTACCTTTTTTAGCACGTACAATTAACCTGAAATATTTTACAAGTAATTTTTACATAAATCACTGAATTACAAACATTTTAAATTTTTACATATTCGGCCTCCTAAGGGCGTGGCCAGCGTGCTTCTGTGTACTCGCGCTATGTGAACAACTAACTTTGCACGGCTCTCGGCTATCAGAAAAAATTAAATTATGAAATACACCAATTTTGACCACATTAGGCAAATTAAATGCTTTTATACAATTTTCGAACTGTATGAAACTATCTTTAATCAGATAACAATATAAATGAATGTTCTCATTAATCAATCATAACAAATAGGCATTTGTTTTCGTACAAAACGTATCAAACTTATACAAAACAACATTTATGCAATTAATATCCATTAATTCTGCCTATGCACAGAGTGATTATCTCGACCGGGGAACAAATCCGATCTTTAACTTCACTTTAATATTCTTATGAATTTACATCATTTGAAAGATGATTTCAACCGGGGAACAAATCCGGTAACATAATTTATATCTTAAATTCCTTACGAATTTATTAAGCGATATTACTTAGGAAAACAAACAAACTAGTCCGGCCTGGGAGTCGAACCCAAGACCTTCATATCATTAATTCGACATTTCTTAAAGATTTAACTAAGCATTCTCTTATCAGAGCGTCGTTGCTCGTGACTGCCCCTTTTTTCATAGCAACGTCATCGGTTGATTTAATAAACTGAAACATTTTTATAGGCGCGTCGCCAACAATCTCCCCCCCCGTGCGTTAGCACCATCATTTGGGAGGCGTCGCGGGTACCAGGACTATTATTCTGGATGTAGGTCTCCTCAAGATACCTGTGCTAGTAATGACGTCAACCACTCTGGTGTGACCGTCTGGTCCCGGTAACGTTCTACTAATTTTACCTTTTGGCCACGTATTTCGTGGCAACGAATGATCTATTATCAAAACAATATCGCCTTCTTTAGGTTCCATGAACTTGCCGTTATCACCTGTTCGAGGTATTAACGTAGGCATGTATTCTTTCAGCCATCTTGTCCAAAAATGGTCGGCTAACCTCTGTGCAGCTTTCCAATTGAGTTGACCCGTCAGATGTCGCTCTAAAAATAATCCAGGTGGTCGATCACCACATGAGCGTCCCGGAAGAAAATGATTGGGTGTCAAACCCTCTTCAGGACTATCCATACTGAATGTTACCAGAGGTCTGGAATTTACCGTATGCTCTGCTTCTAAAAGTAACGTATGTAGAACCTCCTCTCGTGGGCTCTTCTCCTTAAGCGTAGCGGTCAACGCAATTTTAATCGATCTTACTAACCTCTCCCAGGCGCCACCCATGTGCGGTGCTCCCGGAGGTATAAATTTCCATTTAATATATTTCTTAAATGGCTCGTTTGTCATGCCCTCATAGCATTCTTCGCATGCTATCAATAATTCTTTATTTGCAGCTTTGAAATTTGTCCCGTTATCGCTGTATATAACGGCTGGTTTTCCTCTTCTGGCGATAAATCGCCTTAACGCCATTATCATTGACGCTGGTGTCAATGAGGCTGCTAATTCCAGATGTACTGCTCTGGTGGTCAGACACGTGAATAAAACGCCCCAACGTTTTTCGTGTCGCCTTCCTATAGTCACACTCATAGGACCAAAATAATCTACAGCTGAGCATGTAAAAGGTGGCTCATGATGAGCTATTCTTTCCAGAGGAATATTTCCTTGTGGCACGTTTTGCGGCTTTGACCTGTATGTCCTGCACCACTGACAATGGTGTGACACACTTCGTACTACATTACGCAAGTTCAAGACGTAAAATTTCTGGTTCACCTCATTCATCACCGTCTGGTGATTGGCGTGTCCAAAATGATGATGAACTTCTCTAATCATCATTTTAACGATTTCGTGTTTACCGTCTAATATGACAGGTTTTCTACTTTCCTCGGTCAAATTAGACTTGAAAGGTAAACGTCCATTTAAACGGAGTAAGTTATCCTCTCCTATTTCCATAGATAATTTACTTAAGCGTGAACTTCTTTCAACGCTTTTGCCTGCTTTCAAACATTTTATTTCCGAATGAAAACACTCGTCTTGAATGAATTTCCAAATTAATATTTCCGCCTTTTTTCAAGAGCGCTGTGTCCAACGCGCTATCGGGTCCTTTAACCGACTTTGCTAAAACTTTGTTGGAACACATAACCGACTTTTCGGTTGCGTCGTCGGGTCCTTTAACCGACTTTCTTAAACTCTTGAATTTTTCTACCGCTTGTATGGTGCGTGTAGTTGCTCCAAGGAATTTCTTAAAGCTGCTAAATCGTCCGTAGTCGGGTAGACTTAACGGTTCTTGCTTTCTTAACGTATTTACGCCCTTTGGC